TGATTGCATATGAGCATTCTGTACCGCATCACGCGCGCAGGGTGAAATCTATCCTCATGATTGGATAGGGCTTCCGATGACATCATTTCCTCTACGCTTAGGAACGCCTTGACTTTCCTTGGGCTCAAATGTACACTTCCATACCGTTTGTTTACATTTTGATAGCACCGAAAAGATAATTACCGTTAATGACGGTAATGGCGGTTAATGGCGGCTAGATTATGGCGGTTAATGACGGCTAGGTTATGGCGGTTAATGGCATTAATGGCGGTTATGGCGGTTAATGGCGGGTAATGGCGGTAATGGCGGTTAATGGCGGCTAGATAGTTTTGTTCCCGATTACGCTTATTACACTGTAGTATGATGAATTTAATATAAAAAACGGCCCACCAGCGGCCGAGCGGTAAGTCGCTAAACACTGGTAGTTCGGTTCGAGGTTCGAATCCCGCGAACGGGCTGGCTGCATGGGTGTTTTCGTGGTTTTCCCCATGTGTAACGTGTATACGAGCCAGTTTCCTTTAGAAAGTCCTTCACGAAGGCATTCCTCCCCTTAGGCAGATAGCCCTAGTGTGCTTTGCCATAATTAAATGTACCAACACCAACACCAACTAATATAAAAAATATGGAGTGTTTTTTTTGGTTAATTATTAATTTCATATTCATTAAATATAGATATTTAGGAGATGCAGCCTCCGAAAGCATGAGACAAGGCATTTTCCGCAAACACAAAGACTTTGCGAGCTAACATTAATACAAAGTAAATGCACGATATTTGCAGTCAGTCTGAAAAAATAAAATTTATTTTTGAAGTTAGACTACTATAGATTTAGAACACAGAAACAGAGATACGTATATATAAATTGAATATTTCCTATAAATATGTACTCTATGAATGTTGCACATTTTTTTAATGTGTAAAATCTTTTATACCTATATATATAAAAATAGTGCTTATCAGAGAAGAATGTTTCTTTTCCTATACACGTGTACTCAGCGAATATACTGAACGCACCTTTTTCCTTCATTTAAGGCAATAGAATGTTCGAAGTGGGAAAGACAGGGACATTAAGATGGAAAAACATAAACAGTTGTAAAGGAAATATTTTCTCCAATGTGAAAGGAACTGAATGCAGCAAAATCTCAATAATAATATACTTATTAGCACATATGCCTTTACATTTGGCCCACCAGCGGCCGAGCGGTAAAGTCGCTGAACACTGGTAGTTCGGTCAGAGGTTCGAATCTCGCGAACGGGCTGGCTGCATCGGTGTTTTCGTGGTTTTCCTCAGGTGTAACGTGTATACGAGCCAGTTTCCTTTAGAACGTCCTCCACGAAGGCATCCCTTCCCTTAGGCAGATAGCCCTAGTGTGCTTTGCCATAATTAAATACACCAACACACCTTTACGTTTGTGTCGAATGGTCATGTAATCCTATGTGTTTTGTTTTTTGCACTAAATTTATGAAGTCAGTTATTCATATAATCTAAGTATTTAAGATTGCTTCTGATTTTAAAAGCATCTTTGAAGGATTTTATGATTTTATCATACCATAAACAGGATGCCATCTGCAAAAGGCTGTATATCAATTTTTTCGGCTAGCATTATTATTCAAAGAGTACAAATGATTTCACGTTTCGCGGGTCATTTAACGAAACCAAAACTATACGAATCCTGCTTAAACGTTAGTAGACCAAGAGAAAATGATGTCACCAGAAAGTATGTCCAATCACAAGTACGGATTTTTCCGTATGCGCGTAGCACGGTACAGAATGCTTATATGCGGGGTAAGAATTGTAAGAATTGGAGGCTCCCTTCAGAGCCCACCTGGACACGAGTGTACCCATAGCTCAAAAGAAGGGGCCCCGTATCTCCACAAATGAGGGCAGCCAGTAACCCAGCCACCCCAAACAACAAACAAAAATACTAAATCAAAAATAAATAAGCACATCGAACACAATATTACAGACTAACAAACAAACAAAAAAATCCATAAACACAAATTCACAACATAGAACACCACAGATATTTTTTTGTGTGAGAAAAGTGCTAAATTTTACTATGCCTAACAAAATATTCTCTAATTTACTCTAAAATTCAAAATGTTTCAAAAGCTCATTTAGTATAATCAGATAGGTTGTAATGTTGCTCGGCCCCAACCTGCACGCAACAATAGTAGTGACTGCTATGAACTGGAAAGTATACAAAACTCTTAAGAAGGGTTTTAACTTCCTTTTTATTCTATTTTAGAAGTTACAGATGCATGAACTTGACGCTCACAAACTATGCCGACTCGGCGGTAAAATAAAAATAAGAAACTAAAAATGAATAATAACAAGTTACTACCTACGAGGCTCTCTGAACGTAACTAACCTAACCGCGTTCTAAGATACAGCTGATATTTCAGCAAACTTTCTGAATATTAAGTTGAAAGATTCAACTATTTGCCGAAGCAAGCACACAGGCCGCGGTTCTTCAATTTGTACCTAGCAACCTTCACGCTCGTGAAGCAAGAAAGCACACTTTCGAACTCGTTTCCCTTCTATTTAACTCAAATTACTTCCTCTGACAATTTGAATACTTTGCGCGTTCTACTAAAAATTTACATACTCTGGCATTGGCAATTCCAGGGGAAAGTAAGGCTCGACAGGAAAGATATCTTAAACTTAAAATAAATGTTAGTTAAAATAAATATAAACCCTACAAGGTATACTTTAATTACAGAAAAAATTTTAAGCTTATTTTAACTACAGCAGAGTTTGAAAAAAGGTACATCGAAAATGGCCAATTTAACATTGTCGGTATAGGGGTTTCTGATACCCCTTAAACTACAATCAACCACGAAATGCCTAGCATCACCATCAACCTGAAAATTATAACATAATTTATTTTCCTGCAGATGTTTATATGCGGGGTGGCTGAATAAGCGTTTTCGTGGTTTTCCCCATGTGCAACGTATAGATGAACCAGTTTTCCTTAGAAAGTCCACCGGGAAGGCATCTCTATCCTTAGGCAGATAACCTCGAGTGATTTGTTATAATCAAATAAATTAAACTCTGATAGGTTGTAATTAGTCAGCTTTGCGTTATATCCCTGCAAAATTTGAATTTTATACGGTAGAGTTACTTAGCCAGTTTAGAGTAAGATTTAAATTATATAATCTTTGACTATCGGTCCACGTTTGAAATTGAATTTGAATGTTCCTTTAGTTGCGTAGAGTTACTTAGCCAGTTTAGAGTAAGATTTAAATTATATAATCTTTGACTATCGGTCCACGTTTGAAATTGAATTTGAATGTTCCTTTAGTTGCGTAGAGTTATTTAGCCAGTTTAGAGTAAGATTTAAATTATATAATCTTTGACTATCGGTCCACGTTTGAAATTGAATTTGAATGTTCCTTTAGTTGCTTCTCCACGAGCTGTGGTTGATATTGACAGCGTAAGAAGTATGAGCCTTGGTAAGCTCAACCCGTGGAGAATCCCGTGGAGGGTTGAGAACCCCTGATGTACTACCAAGATTTTTTCTAAAATTTAAAACAAAAGTTTCATATTAGTTGGATTCTCAGAATTCCGATAACCAAAGCACCTGAAAACAAAATATAAATTGCACGAAATTCAAGAATTATACCATTTAGTTCAAGGTGAATTTCAATGTTTCGCTGATTAAATTTTATATAAATGTAAGGACTTGTTCACTCAGTAGAATAATAAGTTTATTTTCTTATGAATCAGTACTGAATGACTAAACTAGTTTGTAGTCATCTCCTCAAGTTATTGATATTAACCTTCTGAAAATGCTAACACCTACTACACTTTTATAGTCAAAAAGGATTGGATTCGATTATATGAATTACAGCAAAGTACACGACGACTATATCCTTAAGCGAAGAGAAAGGTCGTTCGTGGAAAGACGTTTAACGAAAAATGGCTTGTACTTGCATTACACATGGGGAAAATATCACGAAAATTTCCATGTAGCCAACCAGTTTACCGGTTATGAACCTGGGTCGAATTGTCAATGTTCACGGATTTTACTGCCACGCTTCTGGTAATGAAATGTGAAAGTATGAGCCGAATTCATGTGAAATTAATGAAAAGTCGTTACTGCATTAATAACTGGATTGTCATCTCTTAAGAATAAATGGTTGCCATTCTAATGAAAAATGAATAACTTAAGCATAACCAATATCTGATTAAAAACTTTGAAGGGAATGTAATTAGGGATCATATCTTCATATCTCTTCAGCATTCCAGCATAGTCACTATTGCGCATATTAAACTCCAAAATGCAATATAAGAATAGGCTTTCCATATTAGGTGATGATCATTTTTTGCAGCCAAGAAGACTATAAGCCTATATTGTTAGTTCTGTTTGGAACAAATCAAAATACTAACATTCCGAAAAGGTATGATCAACTAAACGATAATATTTGAATCTTGTGAGTACTACTAAGGATTAGTTATATTATTTTAACATGAAAATTCTATCAAATATTCTTAAAATCTGATTAATATACATATTACACCCTTTAAAGCTTGTTTATCACTTAGTGTATCATTAAAAAGATTAAATACTTCATAGTAAACGGACGTTTCTGATTGCTAATTTCATTTCATACAAGTTATAGTGGAATTCTACTATTATTACACTACTATAGTCGTGATAGTTGCTTGAATTAAGAGCACCTTGTAGAGTCATTACGATTTTTTTTTGGAAGCAGACGAGATGAAAAATTAGCAATCACCTTCGCCGGGAATGGAGCCATGGACCTCTGGAATACCGGCCCAGTGTGCAGAACCACTACACCACGAAGTCACGCTAGGAAGGCGGGAGAAATATCTTATAACCTTATTGTTAGGGTCTTATACACAAAGGGTTGAAACATGTTTTGTAACTGATATATTAACTACTTACAATATATGAAATGGTTTGTTGTTAGGTAAACTAAATATGTATTATTTACTTCTTTTTTTTTTTCATTTTAGCCTTCTCACTACGAAGACATGACGTGGTCTCCATCTGGTAGACATTTTCGATCTCCTGGCTCAAGTCCTGAAACTTACAGAAGGATCATACATACTGAGGATGACTTCCCACCCAGAAAGACAGATAATGAGGAGGAGTTCTTTAGCGGTCGCAGGAGTCCAACTTTCCCGAGAAGAATCTTCAAGGAAGTATGGAACGAATCTCCCAACCATCGCTTCCCTGATCGACCTAGAATGTTTAAGAGGGTTTTCAAACCAGGTCGCTGGGACAGCGAATTCGATGGCGACATTCCTAACATAAGAAGAGTGGAACGGCAGTTTGATCATGACTTTGAAGACGGAAGGCCTTCATCGAGAAAATTTGATGAAGAATTCGACAAGCGCTTCAGCGCGCGTGATCTTCAGAAAGATCTTGAGGAAGAATTTGAGAAAGCTGAAGGCAGAGTCCATCACATACCAATAATGGTAGAACGTAGGATGGAAGAAATGAAATCACGTTTTGGTAGAAATTCCCCGCCTCCTGATCGAGCGGTTGAAGAAGATTATTCTGAGGAGTGGGTTGGTCCTCAGGTTCAGCATTTGAGAAAAACCTTCGAGCCCTGAAGATCTCGGTGTCAATTCTCGGTATAACCATCATCGCGTTCCAACCAGTGGAAGACCTAGAGCTTTTACAAATCCTACGCAAGATTCGTGGGATCCTCACGCTATCCATACGCTTCCAACAAGAAGAATCCATAAAAGTTCTCAGAGCTTCGACGATTCGAGACATCCGGTACCACCAAAATCAGTATTCCGCTCTTATTCGGAAACACACGAAGACATCCCTAGGCAGCAGCAGCAACACTCAGCAGCTTTCCGATCGCACTCGGATGGACACTGTCCAAAACAAACATACGTTACTAAAATTGAAGTCAAGTTACCTTCCCAAAAAGAACGAGAAGAGCTGTGCTCAACTAATATCCAAACCAAAGGTGATTCTTATGATGATCAGGTGAAACCCCAGAGGCAAAATATTCCAAAGCACCAAGAATGTGAAGGGAACGAAAATAGAAATACGAGTCAAACTTCTGAGACTTATGAGGAACGTAAACCAAGAAAAAATAAGTTCGACAGCCCTTCTCTTCAACAGATAGCTGTTATTCTGCAGAATGTAGAAGATCTTGTCGTGCGCGTTGAGGCATACAATGGAACTGGTAGGGATAAACAGTTTCGATTCCTCGATGAAATGTTAACAAGATGTATGCTACGCCTCGATGATATAGACACCGAAGGAAGAGAGGACATTCGAAGTGCTCGCAAAGCTGCAGTAAGGGAAGTTCAGTCTTGTATCGACAAACTGGAAGCCAAAGCAGATGAGAGTGAACGCCGCCAAAAGGAAAAGGATTCCGAATCGAAAAGTAGTGGAAATTCAGTTGATCAAAGTGATGAAAATCAAAATAAAATGGAAGATAAAAAATCCTCAGAAGAACTGAAAAATGACCAAAAAGAAGAAACAGATAAAGTAGATGATAATGAGCAAACGAAACTGTAGACTTTAGGTACACACTAAGTCGTTTTTGACCGGAAAATAATTCTATGAGCCCTCTTAAGGGGACTCATGCACCTTAAAACCCATAAGGTGTTCGAATAGGTGACTGTTGCAAGAATTGGGATAACTTATTTATTTTAAAAGCAATTACTACCAACTTTTTACAGCTGACTACGTAATATAGCTGCTTTCTGAAATAGTCATCAGAAAGTTTGTGTTGCCACAAATATTTTTATAATTTAATCCGCTTTGTGACAACATTTTTCGTCATATTTCCAACTTGCGCGCACAGTTTAAAACATTCTGTTTCATAATTTAATTCCATATTTAATATATAGCTTTTATAACATTTGAAAACTACTCTGAACCTAAAATTCTAAAACTTTCATGTTACATTTTTATTTTATTTTGAGTTAAGTTTATAAAATGTGTTTTATTAACAAAACTTTTAATGTTTTCGTCCATAAAATGTTTCACTATTAAAATACTCATCAGATTGTTGGTTCAGTTAGAAAATAGCGCCCATATAAAGAATTCCATCCAATTTCAAGTATGTACCATTAGCCATTTTTAAAATATCATGCGCGCAAGGTGGAAACATGGCGAAATATTTTGTCACAAAGACGATTAAATTACAAAAATATTTGTGGCAACACAAGCTTTCGGGTTACTAGTTTCCAAAGCAGGTACATTACGTAGTCAGCTGTAAAAAGTTGGAAGTAATTGCTTTTAAAATAAATAAAATATCCCAATTCTTGCAACAGTCCCATATTCGAAGATCATGAGGGTTTAAGGTGTATGAGTCCCCTTAAATATGAATACAGCAATAGATAAATTACCATAAAGTACATTACTATCACGTGAGCCGAGAACTTTCATCTGAAATAAAAAAAAAATGGCTCGTCATTATTTCGGGTCTTGTATTTCCTGATTAATAATTTTTATAGTAGAAATGGATAATGGTACAAAGTTTCTTTGCTCGGTAAGACAGAAAATAAAATTTAACAAATTCTTTGAGTGAGCTATTTTATAAATAAAATATAAGAAATGGCTTAAAAGATGAATTGAATTAGCCTTTACTTTGACTCTAGCTTTTATTTTATATTAAATTAAAATACTTGAAATCAACGATGGGGCGTATCTTCTTGGAAAAGATGTTCAGAAGAAAAATAGGAAGCAAAAATATGTGAAACCGAGTTGAAAACCAAAATATGTAGTTATAATTTGATGTTCAACAAAGGTATTTACTTATGAAAAAATGGCTGCTTCGTATTTAATTGCAGTCAGACTTTAACGAAATACTTTTTGAAGTGTGTGAAATAAATTTAATGTGTTCAGAAGTGTGTGAAATAAATGGCGAGAAATATAAAACAAAGGTCAACAGTCATTAACGAGAGAACAAAACAACGTGTCGCTTTTGTTTCTCTATGTTTCGTCTGTTTAAACTGACGTGGGAAAGATAGACCAGTTAGTACCTCTTGAAGGCAAAAAACATCTTGGAATTACTTTGGCTCACGCTAGTTCTGAAGCCGAAAATTATTTTTTAATTCTTCAATTGATGCTAAAGAACAGCTGATAACTAAACTGCTGTAAATGTGTTTCTGAAACAAAATAGTTTTATTGATTACAATATTATATAAACTTAAAATCTGTAAAAAGAGACTGAAAAATGTTGATAAAAATCCATCAGATGCCCTGTGAGAATTTTTAATTGCGTTGTTAATTTCTGCTATGCAAAGATAAAGGGCATTTTAAAAGCAAACTATGTTTTCTTTTGCCATTTTGTTTACTCATTTTGAGAATTAAACTAGGGACTAAAATTAGGACTATTTCTATTTATGCCAGCTATACTGTTTTCTTTCGAGTTTTCATCTGTACAGCGTTAGCTGCTGTAGAACAAATGTATATATCTGCCTACCTCTTGTTTTATTAAACGTCTGGCACGTTTAAGTTTTTTTTTCAGCACTTTTTTGTTTCTACTTAATATAAGCTTATATATTCTATTGAGTCTTAAAGACGATGTTTAAATTCTGTTTATATTCATTTTTATCTTTTTTGATGTAAATACTTTGAGTGATTTCGATATATGTGATGTATCTGTGTGAAAATGTTTCATTTCTTATAATATGTTAAATATCTAGAGCCAAAAGAAACACTTTGTGAAGGAAGACATGTGTTTTAAGGAAGTATGTAACTTATATTAAAAACTAGGGATAGACATCGAATAAAAAATTCAATTTTGAAGATTTTTAAATAACGTATTTTCTAGCCTATATTGAAAACAGGATATTTTTAAGTTGTGGTTAGGAGACTCATTTTATCTAATACCTTAAGTAATTTTACGTGAAAATCATTTCATGTATTTTCAAAACATAATTATACAGATTATTTTTATAACTAGGTAAAAAAGTATACAGAGATCATATTTTCCAAATACGCATTTAACTTCCTGTCTAGTGCATTATGTTTTTGATGTATAAAATGTGCATTTTAATGTATCTTTTTAAAGGTCATAAGAGGTTCCGTAAGAAAGACAAGAACAAAATCATACTAAATATGGCTACCATTTTATGATACTGATGGATATTATTTTATGATACTGATGATCTACTTATATATTATTTTATGATACTGAGCAGTAAAGAAAGAATGATACTGAACAGATGTTCAGTATCATTCTTTCTTTACTGCTAATTAATTCATGGAAAAGTCACGAAGTCATAGAAAAGTTTGTTTCCGTATAAAATATGTTATTTTTCGCATCTGGAAACGGGAAGTATAGTTCGACCGCCTCATCCGCGACCATGAGCGCACACACGCATGCGCCATTCGGACTGAATTATTGTCAAAATAAGGTGGAAGCATGGGGACTTTCTTTCCGTCGAGCATATAAATTCTCTCTTTCCGGAGAAGAGAAGCCTTTCACGTCGCAGCAAGTAAAAATACCCCTTTTGGACGAGTCTAAGTGTTTTGGCAGAATGCCAACCAAGGTTGCATTGGAGACGGTCGAACTATAGTAACTTCCTTCCTCATTTATACATCATGAAAGTACTTTTCCATTGATATCAAAGTACTTTTCAATCAACAGCTGCTTCCCAATAACGGAAGCGTGATGGGAGTTGGCACTGCGCCAAAACACATTTTAGAACCTCCTTTTTTATTAATGCACATAGTTCGGTATTACCCGTTGTTTCTAATTTTTTCAGTAAATTTAATTGTTCTTGCATTCGCTGTTTCTTAAATTTCAAACCATAATCATGAGTTTTATAATAAAATTAGAAAACATTAAAAGGTTTGGTTTTTCTTCAAGGATATGCCTTAAAATTTCACTTAAAAATACATTTGTTGAATTAAAGCACCATGTTATCAATACAAGTATACAGTTATTATCTATTCTAAAATCCATTTAATTTTACATTAATTTTCCATGTAAAGCATTACTGTATGCTTTGGATATCTGAATAATATTTACCTTGAATATCCTAGTTGAATGTGCGAAGAAAGTTCATATACAGTAGAGCCTCGATTATCCAATATGAGCGAGCATGAAAGTTTTCAAATACTTTCGAAATGTTCTTTTTTCAAGTAAACCATTATTCAAGTAAACCATTTTTTCAAGTAAACCATTTATTCTTGAATACTGCAAAATTGAATTGAGTCGAAATATTTTTATTATAAATATTAAAATCTCTGCAGCAAATATTCGCATTTATAAACACTAATTATTGAACCTATAATCTGCTTGTAATATTCTGAAGTAGTGAAACTTGTGAAAAATTCTGCTGCGTGCAATTTATAATAACATTTCGAGATGGAACGGATGTATAACTGTAATGAAGCAACGATACAAATAACTAATATGAAACTAAATACAATTTATATTATATATTTCTAATTCATTAACATTCAAAATATTACTGAGAAACTCAGTTTCTGAAAACTTAGTCAACACTTTTATTTTAGATCAAGACTGCCATACACTTGTACAGTGAGGTTGAACATCATATTGTTACCTCACCGATTTTCTTCATTAATTTGAACTTTCTACACAAAAAAAGGAGGAAAGTTCTATATCTCCCGTTCTACTCGACCGATTGATTTGCGTTTTTTATGTCTCGAAAGCGCGACTCAGGCTATATATTGGATTTATATATAGCATTGCTCTAACTCAGGTGTTCTGACCCAAATCAGAGTTTTTCTGTAGTGACACAAATATGTTTTCCATATTTTCATTTCAGGACTCAAATTATGTCTAAATATTGTAACCTTTGGTGGAAAATCTACCGAGAAATTTAAAAATTTATCTCTGAGAATTTTTGTAAATTTTCGCCAAATATAATTCACTTGGCGAAATTCTTAATTTATGATAACCTGGCTTCCCTCCCTTTCATTGTGCACGGAAGGAAAAATAGGTTGCATCTGTCATTCTTTTAAATAATTTTAACAAAGTGGGTATACCACATTTGGCGTTATTACGGCTTGTAACCAATATGCCAAATTACAAAATGCTCCAGTATGTAAATTCTTGTGCATATCTTGGGATATGTTGAATAAAAAACTCCAATTTTTTGCAGGTTTGCCTAGAAACATATCTACTTTAAAGTGATGGATGGTAAAATGTTTACAAATTGTAACTCAAAACCTTTAACGAAATATTTATAAAAATTACAGACGAATACAAATTTTAAAAATAAATCAAAAAATATCTGAGAATTTTATTTGGATTGAACTGAAATTTTGAATTGTGAACGAAGGAATGAAGTAAGTTTAATAAAAAAGAGATATTAATAAATATGTACCAAATTTAATTTAATCCAGGAGCTAAAATTTTGAGAGTTATTGTTTTTAAAAACTGTGCCCACGATTTTTATAAAATTTGACACTTTGGCATAATTTGCGCCGTAGAATCAAAGTATGAAAAAAAATCGATATGTTCTTTCATAAAAAGTTCGATTTTGAGTCGAAATACTTATGCTGGAATAATTCTCTATATAAATTTCGCTTTTAATTGTATAAAGTCGCGCTTTTAATTGTATATAAGTCGCGTTTTTCGAGGTTTGAAATACGCACGTTAAATTTCGTCAATAGAACCAGTAGAACGGAAGATACGTATAAAACTGTCCCATGTTTTGGGTCAACGTGTACACTTAAAGAAAATAATCGTTCAACGTCAAAATTTTT